GGAAACAGGCAATGAAAGTCATCGTTGGGCCAACATGACCAGCTTTCAGACATGAGTTCTCAGAGACCTTCACTCATGATAATGGTAATCATCCTTGGCTACAATCCTGCAAAAACCTTTCGACGTAATCAACATCAGACTAGCAGAACGGATTATCTCCGAAACGAATGTTTCCATTACATTCTCTTGAAATGTAGACACAGGGAATAGAAATGAACAGTGATAGGAGTTTTTGAGGAATGAAAAATTGAAATGTACAAAGGACAACGAGCAGAGTGAAATGAACAAGTTGTTAATGATGTACAGTCAAGTTGATGTGAAGGCAATGTACACAGTTATGCTCTTGCTGGATCATCAGCCAACGAATATGTTCAACAACAGCATCACAGTCAAGGAACCCGACGAACACACACACACACACACACACACACACACACACACACACACACACATACACACACATACACACACACACACACCTACCCACAAACACATGCAACAACGTATGCATACACCGAAAATACATCAAAATATTGGGTTCCAGAGACAGTGCCCGAACGTAAAGCGGAAATGTAAACATCCATTTGACGGAACAAGCAGAGAGCTGAGAGATCTTATCCTGGCAGCAATCGCCACCTTCCAGATGATTACCACCATTCCGAAGTCAGTAGGGCATCACGTTTGGTTCTGTTGAACCTTTCCTGAAATAACAAAAAAAAAGGAAATTATTGGAGGCATGTCCAATTTCAAACGAAAATGTGTCAATACATTTTAATTTCACGGTTCGCGTGAGACTCGGCTGGAAACCAAGTTTTCCGCATCCGTAGGAACGCAACCACCCTTCAGGGATCAAGGCGCAGATGCAGCTTGAGTAGATGAGCTCACTAGCAAGTGGTCAAAGACCGAAAATCCCATTCACTGCATCCATGTTCTCCTCGTGCCAGGCCATAAGTTCCCAATTAACTGTGGGTCGAAGCATGCAGGCATAGTGGAATGGTCTAAGCCCATGATTAAGAAACAGAGGGTAACAGGTTCAGGTCCTGCTTGGAAGCGGAAGGAAAAGGTGTCAGCAGCGACGCAAATCCACACAGTCAAGTAAGCCAATTTAGTAACCGAACGTTTTCGCTCCCTTCTAATCATGGGTATACAGAGAATAATGGAAAAAATACAGGGATTTTTTCCGTTATTCCTTGTATTAACCCATGATTAGAATGGAACGAAAACGTTCGGTTACTAAATTGACTTCACTTGATTGTGTGGATTGCGTCGGTGCTGACACCTTTTCTTTCGAAGGTGAAAATCAGAGCATAATAATTCGGGACTGCCTGGCCCTAGTTGTTGATGAATGGCTGAAGGCTCTTGATGAGAATGAGTATTGTGGTGTAGTACTTGCCGACATGAGCAATGCATTTGATAGAGTGAACCATCAAGGCCTAATCAATGAACTGCAGAATATGTGGATAGCTGGCACCACCCTTGCATGGTTTGCAAGCTACCTAACAAACCGCGTTCAGAGAGTTCGGGTAGGATAGGCACGCGGTGATGCCCGTCCATGCACAAGAGGTGTCCCTCAAGGCTCTGTCCTTGGGCCACTGCTCTTTTGTATATACATCCGCGATGCACCACAATGCTTCAGGCATTCATCTAACAAACTCTTCGCAGATGATATAACCTTCCATGTCCGTAGCCATTCATGTCAAACAGTAACTACTCGACTGTGTGAGGACCTGACTACTCTAGATGGCTATCTTGAAAGGAAAGGACTTTTATTGAATTCATCTAAGGCCCAGGTTTTAATACTTCCTCCGTTAACAAAACTTCGTGATGGATTTTTGAGTGGCTGGTTTGCGCACAAACTGCCGTGAAATGAGTCGCAATTACTTTCTTGGCCTTCCCTTGAATGCCATGAAAGAGGTACGATTCAAGGAAAGCGACCTTGCACAACAAGCCGAGCGGCATGGATGGTTGCGCTATGGAAACATAGATGATGACAGTCATGGCGAGCTAAACTGAGATACCACTTCTCCAAAAGGATATTGCGATGCTTGGCTTCTCTACTACTCTAGCACTGAGTTACTTGGAGAGTGGTAGAGAGCGACGAAACGAAGCAGCGAGCCCACACAATGAGCGAGTGGACAAGGAGCTGCTCGGATCGCACGGCTCAATGAAAAGAATTCTAAACTCAAGTTCTTGTTCAACCTGCACAACGCCAGATTCGAATCCTGGTGACCATGCATTCTTTCAGAAGCCTGCAGTCTGATGCGAGTCTCGTGGCTGAAGAAAGTCGACTGGACTTGCAAAGCCGGTGCCATTCAGTGCTGGCAGGGGTATCCATCAGAGAAAATGGAATCAGTTTGGCTGTTTCTTTACTCCTCGCTTCGCGGAGTTCTGGTGAGCGAAGATCAGACCAGGGGTTCGTAAAATAGTTTTACGACTCCCTGGTGGAAATGAGTAATCGCCATCCCGGCGGATCACGCAGCTTGAAAGCCAACTGACTTGAACGACGGCGACATTAAGATCAGCGGAGTGTGATCAAAGAAGCCAAGAACTCTCTGCTCATTCCGCCAACAGTTTCTCTTGTAAAGGCGTATATTGGCTGAATCACCTTCGTCCAGTGATTTGCAGTCGATAAAAACTGTTCTTGACCTATTCTAAGGGTTTTCATATTAATCAAAATTCATCACGAAGTTTTTGTTAACTGAGGAAGTACTTCGCCGCCCTGGTAAAGAGCTGCCACCTGCTGCAGCAGTCCTCTGTTGTGACACCCCAGTAGGAAGTAACGAGCGGGTTCTGGGCCAGGGGGCGCCCGGGTCCCAAAAAATGGGGTATTATTGAAAAATGGGGTACTAATAGTACCCCATTTTTGCGGTGAAAATTATTTTTGGCCCGGTTTTTTTGCGGATAAAAATATGTGCCAGGGGGTGCCCCTACCTCAAAAAAAAGGGGGTATTATTGAAAATATGTATTGGGGTGTTATGCTCTACCCTAAACAATAAGGTAATATGGTGTCATGATTTGGAATTCTGCATGTATCATTAATTTTGATTTTTAGGGGTGGGTAATATGTCCTGCCCTACATCATAATATTGCATTCCGATGTCTAAAATATTACTATTTCAAATGTCAATGTTATCTCACTTTTTCCAATTTTATATTAATCAGAACTCATAGTTTTGCAGTATTTTGACTTGTAATTTCAATTTTTCGGATCATTTTCCGGCTTACTACATAATCACACGAGACTTCCGGCATCTTCTTAGGATATCCTTCATCGTCAATGTCGATCGTGCCGACACGCACAACAACACGGGTTATCCTCGTCGACATGACTGAGAGGCGGACAGATTTCGTCGTCGCTTGTGTATCCACGTCTTTTCGAAAGACCTTGCGCTCATTGAGATCCTTGATGACACGGATGAGTTCCTGAGCTTCGATCTGCTCTCCATTTGCAAATGTCTCTTCGACAATATCCAGAACACCTGCAGCCTTCATCACGTTGTACATCGATCTTCGCCCGTCGTCCCAGCAGCGGAGCAGTCTGCCTGTATCCCGCCATGATGAGGATCCATAATCCTCTACGCCATCAACAACGATCTTTGGGAGACGCTGGTGTTTCTCACCGCTCACGAGAACGCGCGTCGACACCCTGCACAGATACTCCGCAATCTCCATGGGAGTCAAGTCCACCCGATCCGGGTGAAGAAGCATGGGTCTTAGCTCGTAGGCTGTGCCCAGATCGGTGAGTAACTGAACGGTTAATTCATCTTTATTACTACAAGAAAATAAATAGAACTTCTCTACATATGGTTCGGAGGTTGACCAGGCCGACATCTTTGATCTGATAGAGAGAGAAATTCTGGAGACGGTACTCGATCATCCAATGGACTCAAAAATGAATTGTGAACCAAAAATGAAATTATATCAGGTTTTATAGGTCCCGCCAAGTCCCGTCCCGCCGGGTCCCGCCTCCGGGAAGGTGACGACCTTGGAGAACACGGTGAACACGGTGCGCGCCAAAAACCAAAACGTTGCTCGCGCCATGCCGTGTCTTTTTTGGTTCGGGTTTGGAATCTTTCCATTGACATAAGTCAATTAGTTTTCCATCTATGTCCGTAATCGAAAGGTCCATGAGGTGTAGAATTTTTCTAGCTTTCCTCTCGTATAATTCTTTTCGACATACAACAATTCTTTCTCGAACTTTTAGCTGCTGGAATACCGGATTCATCTTGACCTCAGATGCACAGATCATGCATCCATGCATTGACGTCACAGTACATCATTGCAGCACTGATTTCACTGTGAAGTGTGGAACATGGGTCAATGCGCGATAAAAGGATGAACGTGATTTCAGCGGGAAGTGCGCTAATTGGTCACATGTTTTCAGCGGGAAGTGCGGTAAGTGGTTAATTGTTTCCAGCGGGAGATGAGTGGATTGGTTAATTGAAAAACAACCAGTTATTCCGAATTCAACTATTACGAAAACCCTATAAAAATAGATCCTCGGTACCTTGTCAAGCCATTGTGTGGTTGTCCGCCACCACCCCTGCTCAGGATGGAACCCCTTCGGAAGAAACCTCGTCAGTCTTTTGATGTAGTGAGATCATCTGATCTGTTGCAATTCTTTAGTTATTGTCCTGATCAAGAGTTTGCAGATGTACTAAAGTTTTTCTCTCATGTTCTACCGTCGCTGGAGCTGCTTCTTGAAGAGAATATTGAGCAATGGGGCCAGTACAAGTGTTCTTTGGTAGTTCAGGTGGTGATGCAGAAGCTGAATCCTGCTACAGGACAAATGGTTTCCAACACATTCTTCTTCCGATCGAGTACAACGCTGGTGCTCAACACCATGGAGCTGAGGGACCTTCTCAGTAGGATGATAGCTCAGATCAACGCTCGTCTTGATGATTTCGTTCGTCATGGATCAGGTTGGGTAGTTGAACGGATTTCCTGTTTACACATCGAAATGTTACGCTACTGTGTACTTGGAGGAAGTTCGTACATCCCCTTGCCACCGGAGTTGAAGTCGAAGAAGGCCATTGTTAACGTGCAGAACACTGACAACAAGTGTTTACTGTAAGTATAGCAGTGGGGTTTCAGTGTGGTGATACGGTGTATGGATTGAACTGTATGCCGCCTGTCCATGTCTTATGTCATCCGTACTTTAGATGGTCAATACTGGCTGCTAAATTTTCGGCAGACAAGTCTCATCCATGTCGTCAATCGTCGTACGTAGAACATGCGGATACTGTGGATGTGAGCGGCATCGAGTTTCCAGCAAAACTGGAAGACATACCAGTCATCGAAAGACTGAACGACGGTCTTTACATCAACGTCTTCGGATATGAAGAGAAAGTCATATATCCGTTAAGAATTTCTCAGCAACCGCAGACCGCCATCAATGTATTGCTCATCCAAGACGAACGCAATGACGTGGAGGTGCAGCACTGGGTGTGGATAAAGTCATTCAGTCGTCTTGTTGCTACTGGAGCACGTCGAGCACATTTTGTCTGCTTCAGATGTCTCTCAACACACGTCACGGAGAAGGCATTGAATAATCATATGATGTACTGCAGTGAACATCCTGAAGCTACGGTGGAGATGCCAAAGGCTGGCGATAGAGTGATGTTCAGGAATGTGAACAAGCAGCTTCAAGCCCCATTTGTAAGTAGAACACTTAATCAAGGTGAACACACTGTGGTCTGTTTTTTTTTTTTCTTTCTTTACTGCACATGTTTCTTGACTCTGAGTGTTCACCTTTCTGCTGTTTTACTCGGTGTTGTCTCTGCAGCTATTCCTAATTCTCTATCTGTCTTTTCTGCTGTTTTACTCGGTGTTGTCCCTGCTGCTATTCCTACTTCTCTCTCTCGCTCCCTCTCTCTCTCTCTCTCAAATGCAGGTGATCTATGCCGATTGTGAGGCTTTCATAGAACCTCTGTCCGCTGACAATAAAATCGGTCATTCGACATTCCAAAAGAACAAGCATGTAGCCTGTTCCTGTTCGTACATTGTAGTACGATCTGATGGCGTCGTCACGAACCGTTTCTTCTACCGTGGAGAAGATTCTATGTTCTGTTTTCTGCTGTCACTTGAGCAAGAGGAGGAGACTATCCGTGATGAGCTTCTAGCATGTAATGCTGGTCAAATGATCATTTCAGAAAGTCAGCAACGTGAATTTGAAACGGTAGTCTCCTGTTGGATCTGTGGTGAAGCGTTGGGTAGCGATCGTGTACGTGACCACTGTCACATCACCGGTGCTTATCGTGGTGCAGCACACAACCATTGTAACCTGAACATGCGGATTGAGCCATTAAAGATTAAGATTCCTGTGATCTTTCATAACTTGAAGGGATACGATTCTCATCACATCATATCTGCCATTGGGAGAACGTCCATTGATGAGATTACGTATGTGAACAAGAAAGGACAAGAACGGGTACGTTACATACGCGTGGTGTGTGTGTGTGTGTGTGTGTGTGTGTGTGTGTGTGTGTGTGTGTGTGTGTGTGTGTGTGTGTGTGCGTGTGTGTGTGCGTGGATCATGATGTTTTTCTAAGAAGGAAGATCATTACTATGTTGGTACTCATATTCACGTTTATATGATTGATATTCATCTTTACAGCTGCACCTTAAAACTGTGTCTCCTCTTTTTCTTTCTTCTTCTCAGACCAAGCGTGTAACAGGTTTAATCAAACTTGAAAAGTAAGAGGCCTGGTTGAGCGTGCCTCGACCAGTTATATGCAAAATGTGATAGTATACATGTGGCAATGGCGCCAATGAAGGTGCTAATAGACAGGCGTAAGACGCATGAGGTGCGAGGGAGTGTAAAGTTATAGAGAACAGGGGAAAACTGTTACATCATCCCCCTCCTATGGAGAGGAAGGAGCTTATAACCCAAATGCTCAAGTGGAATAGAGTACAATAAGCGCAAACACGTGCGAGACGAAAAAAGGCTTCGCACTGAAGTAACACAATAAGACGACTGAAACTCCATGCAAATAAAGTGTAATAAGCTCAACAAATGTGTAAGGTGAAACTAGAAGTTCAACTGCAAAACTCAGCGGGCAGAAGCCAAGGTTTTGTACTTCTGAAGTGGAACAATGTCATTACCAGATTCATCCAACAAATAATGTTCAGGTTCATTGCCGACGCTGACGTTGCTGACATGACACCTTTCTGCAACGGGACAATTTCCTACAGCTATGGGTGTCTCCGGCTCCGTAGGTTCCTGGAGAGCAACGTCTTCAACCTCCAGAGCTCCGAACCGGTTAGCGACTGGTACCGGCGTGGGTGCTTGGGTCGTCGCCAGTAAGCGCACCCCCTTTCTTACTGGCGACCAGCGTTTGGGTAGCGCTGTCCACCCTCAGTACAGTCTTTAGCGAGGTGGCCTGGCTTCCTGCAAGCAAAGCAGTGTCCCATTGCTCGCAGTTGGACACGCTCTTGGTCCGTCAGCTTGCGGAGGCCCTGAGTCTGACCACGGAAGCTGGGCACGGAACGCGACTCTCTACTGGCTGGTGGCCCCGACGCCGGTGGCCCTGACGACTGCTCCACGGTGTTTGCTGCCATGACAGCTTGCTCCAGGGTACGTGGATGCTCACGCATGACCTGTCGCTGGATGTGCGGCACTAGACCCCTGACGAACAGCAGCGCTCTGGTGTGGTGGTCGATTTCCGGCACTTGCAGGCTGAGGCGAGTGAAAGCAGCAATGTATGCGTCCAGCGATCCGCGCTGCGCTGCGGAAATTAGTCCCATACGCGATGTTTCCTCGTTGTGCCGTGGTCCGTACACATCGCCAAGTGCCGCTTTCAGAGCAGGCCAGTCGGAAAACACTTGGTTAGCTTCCAATGCCGCTATCAACCAAAGACGAGCGTTTCCAGTCAAAAATCCTGCCGCGTAGTCGACCCTCTGTGCCGCATTTGGGAGCGCCAACGACCGTAGGGCCATGTCCATTGCAAACGTCCATTCTTTGAATGTAGCGGAATCTCCTCCAAACACAGGCGGCTCTTTCGTAAGGCGGGGTGTTGGCTCCCACGGTTCCGAGTTCGGATGTATCGTTCGGTTTCCTTGGCTAACGCGCTGAGCGGTCTTGATATCGTTTATCAGCCGAACGACGAGTACGAGGAGCGTAAGCAGAGCGACCAGAACACCTGCCAAAAGCAGAGTAGGAACCATCCTCTGCTACCAGTGTAACAGGTTTAATCAAACTTGAAAAGTAAGAGGCCTGGTTGAGCGTGCCTCGACCAGTTATATGCAAAATGTGATAGTATACATGTGGCAATGGCGCCAATGAAGGTGCTAATAGACAGGCGTAAGACGCATGAGGTGCGAGGGAGTGTAAAGTTATAGAGAACAGGGGAAAACTGTTACAAAGCGTCTCGGTGCTATCAACGTGATTCCCATCAACAGTGAAAAATATGTCACATTCGGATGGAGACAGTTCCAGTTCATCGACAGCCTGGCATTCTTGAACACCTCCCTAGACCGGTTGGTTTCGGCTTCACCACCAGATGCATTCGCCCTTCTATCCGCACGATTTCCAGACGAGGATGAACGCAAACTGTTGACACGAAAGGGTGTCTACCCGTATGAATATATGGGGTCGTACGACCAATTCGAAGAAACGCGTCTACCACCCAAGGATGCATTCCACTCAACGCTAACGAACACGGTGAGTAGTGTGACAGATATAGTAGATCTTTCTCTCTTTCTTTTTTCACCATCTTACTTCGAAGTACTAAAATAAGCCAAAATGTGTTTGAACGCTTCCTGCAGCTTCATACTAAATAATTGATTGTGTGGGCGAACTACTAAAATAAGTTCGTTGATTTGTTTTTCTTTTTGGTGTACATTTTCTATTCCCTAGGGTATCAGTGATGAAGACTATGCCTATGCACAAACAGTATGGACTGCGTTTGACTGTGAAGATCTAGGAGACTATCACGACCTCTACCTGGAGACTGATGTGCTGCTGTTGGCTGACGTTTTCGAAAACTTCAGAAGAACTGCTCACGCAACCTATGGATTGGATCCCGCTAATTACCTCACCTTACCGGGATTTGCCTGGGATTCGCTGCTGAAAATGACGAAGGTGTCCCTTCATCTCATTTCCGACATTGACATGTTCAACTTCATTGAGCATGGCAAAAGAGGTGGCATAAGCATGGTGTCCGCTAGACACGCCACCGCCAACAACAGATATCTATCGGAATACAATCCAGACGAGTCGTCAAGCTTCATCCAATATTTAGATGCGAACAATCTATATGGATGGGCCATGTCTCAACCCTTGCCCGTGTCGGACTTCTGCTTTGAAGCAGTGACGGATGATCTTCTGGAGACGGTACTCGATCATCCAATGGACTCTTCGACGGGATACATGGTGGAGTGCGATTTAAGGATTCCAGATGGTGTGCATGACATGATGAATGATTATCCGTTGGCTCCTGAGCAGATGAAGGTGACACGAGATATGCTTTCTCCATATCAGACCCACATGGCAGAGAAACTAATGGTAAGTCATGGTCTATCTGGTGGATATGCTTGTATTAATCTTCTAAGGTTTGTGTATATCTATACTGTACTCTTGTAGGTGAGCGGTTTGGAAGCGAAGAAACTGGTGCCAAATCTACTACCGAAAGAGCACTATGTTCTGCACTACAGAAACTTGCAGCAGTATGTGTCCTTGGGTGTGGAGATTACAGATGTGCATCGTGTGCTCTCCTTCACACAACACCCATGGATGAAGCCATACATCGACACTAATACTGACCTGAGAAAGCTATCAACTTCTGATTTCGAGAAAGACTTCTATAAGGTGGGTACTCCACATCATGTGTGTGTGTGTGTGTGTGTGTATTTAGCGATAGTGTGGGATCTAGTATGTACTGGAAGTGTGAATGACCTGAAGATAACAGTTTTCTTATTGTTGTTTTTCTTGTCTTTTCTTTGTATGCCTGTTTATCGTAGTTGATGAACAATGCTGTATATGGCAAGACCATGGAAAACGTTCGAAACAGGGTAAACATCAAGCTCATTCGTGAACAGGATGAAAAACCACGTCTCCAGAAAAGCATCAACAAACCTTCGTACATCCGCAGTGTAGCCTTTGAGAACGATCTGATAGCAATCGAGTTTGCCAGGACAAAGGTGACTCTCAATAAACCCATTTATGTGGGTACAGCCATCCTCAATCTGTCGAAGCACTTGATGTATTCCTTTTACTATGAAGTTCTCCTACCCCGCTATGGACAAAATGTACGTTTGCTCTACACTGATACTGATAGTCTGATCGTACATATTGAAACGGATGATCTGTACACCGATATGTCAAACAACATAACAGCCTATGACACATCCAACTATTCACCATCCCACCACCTGTACAGCACGGTCAACAAGAAGGTGGTAGGGAAGTTCAAGGACGAACTAGGTGGCAAACCCATCAAGGAGTTCATTGGTTTGCGGAGCAAGATGTACGCATACCGCTGTGAAGACAACGACGACAATGGCAAGCGTGCCAAAGGTGTGCAGAGAAGCGTGTTGAAAAACACCATAACCGTCGATGATTATCGAACATGTCTCGTCGAGGAGTCTCAGCTGAAGAGAACAATGAATGTTCTTCGAAGTCGACGACATTGCATTCACGGAGAGGAGCTACGCAAGATTGCCCTCTGTGGATTCGACAGTAAGCGTTACATTCTGGAGGATGGTATCAACACCCTGGCATTCGGACACAAGGATATTCCAAAGCACTGAGGGATTTCCACACATACTAGAGCATATGTCATATCTTCTCATGAAATACATTGTAAATACTATGCGATTCATAATATTCACGTTAATCCAAAGCATGAGCTACATTGTACATATGAAATGCTAATACTTTTTGAGATCATTCACATCCTTCTTTGTTAACCAGGTATGGAATTTTTCGTCTTGATAACCCCTCCATTTGACGAGCCGACTGTTCTTGTTGTATTTCAACACCTTATCGAATCTCAATCCTGTGTGTCTGGCATGTTGTAGCTCAGCTCCATAGAACTGTCCTTGAATGACTTCTCCCATCAGGTCTTGAACACGATAGGTGTGGGGTACAGTGGGTAGGACATCGTTTACCACGAACACTTCCTCTGTCCAGTTGGGCGTGTACCCTTTCTCGAAATGACGTTTAGCTACAGCCAAACGCACATCATCACCCACTTTGAATTTTGCTGGTGATTGCTTCGAGTGTACGTCTGCATCTTTTGGTTTTCCATCAAGAGAAGCTTTCGTGGGACTCATGCCGATACTGCGATGTTTCGAGCTGTTGTACTTGACCATAAGCTGAGGAAGGACGTCAAGATACTGTGTCGTAGCTTTCTCCGTGAAATGGCGCCACATTCTGCCTTTCAGTGTTCTATTGAAGCGTTCCACCACCACGGCTTTTCCTTCGTTGTGGGTGCTGTACATGATGATGTTGTGATCCTTGACCCATTGCTTCATTGTTGCATTGTAGAACTCCTTGCCTTCGTCTACCCATAGTTTTTGTGGTACCCTGTTCGATGTTTTCAGGATCATGTCGAATGCATCCCTGACAGCAGAGCCAGTTTTGGTTTTCAGGGGTACTGCCCAGGCATAGCGACTGTACAGATCGATGACGGTCAGCAGGAATTTGTAGTTCTTGTTGCTT